TTGTCCTCAGTATTTTGTTGCAGGGCAGGATAAGGGCATTTCTCCACCACCAATTATTTTGGGATCTTACTGTCTTACTGGATCTTAAGTTAAGCTAAACTAAAAAGATTTTTTTAGTTTGAATCAACACAAACATCAGTTTCTTAGATGACTGAGTTCAAAAGCAAATATTACTTTTCAGGCCGTTATATTTGAGAAACCTACAGTCATCAAAATTTATTTTGAAAATTTTTATCCTAAACAAAGCAGTCAATCTACCATATAGCCACATACTAGCAGACATAATTGTTGCTCTAAATCCATGGATTTTATGTAAGATCCCACCAAGTTCTACAGTGAATGAGTCATGAATTTGAAATGGGCAACCATACCGAATGAATGAATGAATGAATGAATGAATGAATGAATGAATGAATGAAGTTTAAGAAAGGAGGTTTTCAACATTACCTAATATGGAGATGGAAGCTTTCTCCTGTATCTCAAAATCTCTGAAGAGTCAAGCAGTTCTGTAAATGTACTGACACTTTCAGAGGGATGGGGCTTGAATCACACTGCCGCAATATCCATCCAGGCTTTTGATCCATCCTGCAGACACCACTGAAGGCACTTGTCTAAGACTGTTTTCACATATGATGCTAAACTAGTTTTGCACTTTTCACAGTGGCCATTCACTAAATCTTCACCCTTATCTTGGAGCCAATCCAATTTAATAAAAATTCCAAGTAAACTTACATATAATGAAATTTTGAAAACACATGGAAGGCTTTTCTAGCTATAATGTGCTAGATTGATTTGATTTGAAAATCAATTTGATTGAGAAGTGCCATCTTTTTGTTTAGGCTGCAAAATCTCTTTGAAGTGAGTTTCTTTGTATCAAGCCTCAGGAATATACTCTACATTGTTAGTTTTGTGCAAGCTCTTTTAATGGGATTGGTAGGTAACCAACATTAAAGTTGTCTGTCCTTTCCTTCCTCCTAACCAGCCAGGTGTTGGTCTCAATAATGTCAGAAGTTACTAACAGATTTCTTTCTTGTGCTTCTGGATAAGTTAGATTATATTGCCAACAGTGGGACGACCTGGAGGGCATTAGGACGGGGAAGTCTGCTTTAGAATAAAATGCATTTATTTGTTTGCCTGTTTGTAGCATTTTTTTATCCCCTTCATTGCAAGAAATTCCAGAGTGCAAAAAGTGAAGTAAACCCAAGTCCGCAGTGTCGATTCTTCCACTAAATCTGATCTGTTTGTCACAATAGAATACTCTGCAGATGATTACTTTGCTTTTTTGACATTGCATGGGCCAAGAAGACACACACAGATTTTATAAAAACTTCATGGAGGAGTGCAGCTCCTTTTGAATATAATTCTCTGCAGATTGCATTGCATTTTCATGGCTGTTCATAGAGTCCTTTTGAGTCATTCTTGTCCTATTTCCTTTCTGCAGCTAAACGTTACTGTAAAAATTCGAGCCCAACCAGCAGCACAACAAGCAGTTATGCGCCTAGCAGCAGCAGCAATATGAGCTGTGGAGGAGGCAGTAGCGCCAGCAGTACCTGCAGCAAGAGCAGCTTTGACTATACCCATGACATGGAAGCAGCGCACATGGCTGCTACGGCTATCCTGAATCTTTCCACTCGCTGCAGGGAGATGCCTCAGAACCTCTCCACAAAACCTCAGGATCTTTGTTCCAGGGTAATACATTTGCATATTTGTATATATCTCTGTGTGTTATTTCCCAAAGGTCAATCATTCTTTGGTGCACCAATACAGGAATCTTTGATGAATTCAGGAAAGCTGCCAATTACGGTTATTTTTTTTCCCAAATGAGCATTAAATCTATTTTGCAGTTTTACTGTAACAATCCAGTAGTTAAATCTGAAACAATCCTATTCAGAATAAGTAGCTTAAAAACAGGCAGCAAAAGTTCAAACAAAAGCTGCTGTATTATTGTTATTAACTATTTTCTGAACGGGTGAGATCTTCTAAGAATATGAAGATTATTTGAGCAGTCCTTCCTACAATATCTGACTAAGTCTGCATCATATTTATTAAGTCTGTATCACATTTACTAGTGAGGAATGGGAGGGGTACTTTCAGACTTGCTAGATCCTGTTACAGTAACCTTACAATAAAGATAGAGTTAGTCTTCATTGTCATGCTTCTTGTCTGGACTACCTCAGAGGGCTAATATATGATGCTTTCTTCATAGAGCTAATTAGCGGGTGCTTATATTCACCAGTATAATAGTGGATGGCAGCACTAAGATGACAGGGCTACATCGATTCATACTTGGTTAGTGCTTGTATGGGAGATCCCAAGGAAAACCCAGTGCTGTAGACTAGATTAGAAAGAGAGAGGGAAAACAAAAAACAAAAAAACACAACCCACATCCTGGAATAAGTCAGTGACAAACACTTCTATATTGTTGCTAAAAAAACAACATGGATGTGTCTATGTAGTCATGCGAAATTGAGCTTGACTTGATAGAGTCCTTAGATACACTAAAAGCACACTAAAAAGATACATAAGTGTGCCCCACAAACATCTGTAACAAACATCAGCCCACTTTATCTTCATCTTGTAAGTTATTTGTGATATTTATGGATACATGGATCTCAGTCAAGACTGCTAAATTTAGGCGGAAATATTCCAGGACAACTGACTTCAATATGTCATAAGAGAGACATAGACGAAGGCTGAGATTTCACCTAAACGTTCTTGGAAACATTTTAAAGTTTACTCATGTGTTTAGTGGATGAAAATTAGAATAGGCAGCCTTAAAAGAAGTATCTTTTTCAATGCTGCTTATTATTTAAAAGTGTTTTCCTCTCTAAATCAAAGGCATGCTTATGATAAAACTTAAGAGATCTCTTCCATAGTTTCTGTTAGGCTTGCAGAGGATCCTCCTCTTGTTTCTGACCACCTGCCCTAAGGTGGCAGGTGACCCCCTGCCTTTCCATGTGTCCTGGAAAGAGGCCTGTTTGTAATGCCAGCCCTTCTAATGCCTAGCTGAAGGGGGAAAAGGGGTGCCTTTTCACACAGCAAATAGAATTAGGTAGAATCTGACAGATGGGCACACAAGTCTTGTTCACATGCTGGGATCAGACATAAAAGCTGCTCCACCCAAAGCCATACTGATTCTCTGAAGGCCAATTTTGTTCATCTATGAAAACAAGAACTAGTACAATTCTGACTCAATAAATCTCAGCCTCATACTGGCATTACAGCCAAAGTATTCATCCTATCCTGTAAGACTTGCAGTCATAGCTTGCAGGCTTTCCCTTGCTCTGATCGCGCTGCATTGTCTCGCACTGCTTTAAAATTACAGTGCTCTCTTAATAACCGCTCGGCCGAAGATGAAAGGGATTAATCACAAAAAGAAGAGGAAAGTAAACATAAATTCTTACAATCAGGATGATATAATAAGATAATTTATTAAGACTGAAAAAGAAAACATATTTTAAACGTATTTCACTGTGAAGAAATGTCATTCTTTTTAAGGTCTTGTAATTATTTGCTGCTTGTATAAAACCCTGGTAAACCTGTGCTTCCCTCATGCGGCCGCTAGAGGGCCGTACAAACAAACAGTTGAGGGTGAATCATGTTTCTGCAGTTCTAGGCCTGCTCTTTCAAAGAGGAAGAAAGGTGTTTTTAAGTTTTTATTTCATTTTTCCAGTTTTCTAGAATGGAAGTACGTGGACTGTGCGACTGTGGAAGTAAATATAAGAAAGAGCATCTCTTGAGTCGAATCAAGATTCTATTATTGTTCAGTTTTCCCCTCAGTTCAGTTTATTATTTCTTAAAAAAGAGGGTTGACTTTTTTCCCCCCCTGATATTAATAACTTCAACCTTATTTGGGAACAAAAATTAGATTAGATTAGTTTAAAAGAAAGAAAGAGGGTCACTTTTTAAAATCAAAATGGTATTTTGGGGGCAGTTAACGCCACGTCCAGTCATTAAGAAGGAATCATCCAATGGAATTGATTAGGAAAGATCTTTTGGTAGAATAATGATGTATGGTTTGTTTCGATAATAAGAATGGGAAAAGCTTTTCTGTGGGAGAGTCTTTTGGAAGCTGTAATGAGGAAAGCACGTGGCTGGAAAACGGTCCTTCCCTTTTAGGCTGGGAACAGGATTTCTGAGGTAGGATCTTTTTTGAAAGATGGGCTACTTCCATCCTTTGGCTTTATCACCCATCTCTTGGCACCCCCAGACTTGTCACCTGCGAAGAAAGGCTTGACAGAAATGCTATTTTTGCTCCACGTAGAAAAGGGCAAAGTGAGAGGGAAAGGCAAGTGGAAAATGCCTCATTTTTCCTCCGCCTTTCCTCAGTCGCTACGGGGAACACAAGGACCGGTTTCTCTTCCTCAAGCTGAAAGGACTCCCCAGACCGACTTTGTGGAGTGCACATTTCAGTTTCTGTGCCTCTTACTGGTTGAGCTTGGTATCGTCTGCACTGAGGACGTGGAAAAAGTTTCTTCTTCTTTCCTGATTCTGTAGCTGTTGACTTGAAAAAGGCTTGCTATTCTTTCCGACCTTTAAAATTGATACCGTTCAGTGGTTCTTTTTCAGTTCTTGCCTTAAGAAGTTGCTCCAAGTCAAACCAGAACCATGTAGACCTTAATTCAAAGAATTGGGCACATCAAGAACTCAATCAGAAGGGTGAAATCAGTCCTAGCGAAATATTTTCCAAATATTTCTTTTATAATGTTTTAACACTGCTGAGAAATGGAACTGTTTGTGGGTAGTTCATTTTACTGAAGAAACATTGACGGTGGTGAGCTGAATTGTCTTCTTTGGTATATATGTTGTGTGTGTATGTGTGTGTGTGTGTGTTTTTAAAACAGAACCCAGATATGGAGGTTGATGAAAATGGGACGTTGGACTTGAGTTTAAACAAGCAACGACAGCGAGATGGCTGCTGCACCATCTTGACGCCGCTGGAACCGATGTCACCGCAACAACAGGCTGTGATGAATAACAGGTGTTACCAGCTGAATGAGAGTGACTGCTGGGATTTGCCTGTGGACTACACAAAAATGAAGCCTAGCACGATAGATGAAGATGATTCCAAGGAGATTAATGTAGGTCTCTTTCATCTCCAGCATTGCTTTCAGCTATTAGGTTTCCAAAGACCGCCAAGGTGAAATGCATTAGTAACAATAGATTGTGCAAAGATACTTTCCTGTATATAATTTTTTAAAAATGTTGATTGAAGCGTTTCATTATGTATTTATTTATACTAGGAATGCATTCAGCTGGTCGAGGTATAATTTACTTAAATCCTTTTCGGAACTGGCGCTTTCATTTGTCCAGTAATGTCACAGTTCAATGGTAGGATATTTTTGGAAAAGCTGAGGAATGTTTATGCAAGAATTAGTTAGT